CAAATGGGTAGGGAAGGTAAGGGGTTTGCAAGTAAGCGTTTGTCTTGCCCCGAAAGTGTCGCCGGGTGGATGGGGGTAGGGGAGGGGGAAGGGAAGGAGAGGGGGGAGGGTGTGTGGGTATGGGGCTTTCTTGAAAGAGAGAGAGAGAGAGAGAGCGAACCTAATGTGCCCTTCCCTCTCTTTCTTTTTTCTTTTCTTTTTCTTTCCCTCCCATCTCTCGTCTCTCCCCTCTCTCCCTTCGTCTCTCTCCCCTCCTCTCTTTCCTCCTCCCCCTTCCCTTCCCCCCCTTCCCTCTTCCTCTCCCTTCCCTCCCTTTCCTCCCCTCCCCTCTCCTTCCACCCTCCCTCCCCTCTCCTTTACCCTCTCCCTCTCCCTCTCCCCTCTCCTCCCCACGCATCTTACCTGAACGGCTCCCCGTCTCGCCTAATTAGTGTTTACCTTTTGTTTATTGTAGGGAACGGCTGCGCTGGGCGGAGTTTAAGAAAAAGACTTGGGAAGGGAAGGATAATTTTGGTGCTTGGGAGGTGAGAGAAAGAGAGGAAGAGAGAAGACAGGAAGAGGGGAAAGGAGAGAGAGAGAGAGAGAGAGAGAGAGAGAGAGAGAGAGAGAGAGAGAGAAGAGAGAGAGAGAGAGAGAGAGAGAGAGAGAGAGAGAGAGAGAGGGGGGGGGGGGGGGGGAGGAAGGAGAGAGAGAGGGAAAGGGAGAGAGGGAGGGGGAGAATGAGGGTGAGGGAGAGAGAGCGAGAGAGAGAGAGAGAGGGAAAGGGAGAGGAAGGGGGAGAAGGACGGTGAGGGTGAGAGGGAAAAGGGAGCGAAGGGGAGAAGGAGGGTGAAGGAGATAGAGAGGGAAAGAGAGAGGAAGGGGAGAAGGAGGGTGAGAGTGAGAGGGTAAGGGAGAGGAAGGGAGGGAGGGGGAGAAGGGGGGTGAAGGAGATAGAGAGGGAAAGGGAGAGGAAGGGAGGGAGGGAGGGGAGAGTGAGGGAGAGAGGGGAGAGGTAAAAGGAGAGAGAGGGCCAAATTTTTGCTTGTGAGAGATGAAAGGAAGAGGCAGAGAGAGAGGGGGAGGGAGGGTTAATTTTTGCTTGGGAGGCGAAGTGAGAGGAAGAGGGAGAGGGAAGGAAGAGAGAGAGAGAGAGAGACAGAGAGAGAGAGAGGGGGGGGGGGAGAGATGCAGAGCTGGGGGAGAGGACGAGCGAGAAGAGAGAGACGAAGGGCGTGTGTATGTGCGTGCGTGTGTGTGTGTGTGTGTGTGTGTGTGTGTGTGTGTGTGTGTGTGTGGTGTGCGTACGTGCGTGCGTGCTTGTGCATGTAAAAGAAACATTAAAGAAACGGAAATGAAAAGCAATTCTACATGAAAGACACTCAGTTCAATAAACACAAAGAACTTTAAAGGAATTGCTTGAACTCCAGATATAGAGAAGGGAACCAGAGAAGAAAACTGACAATAAATGTGGTGAAAACACAAGAAATAAGGAATTACGAAACCTTGATAAATAAGAAGAATAAAAAAAAGTTGATAAGAGAGATAGGAAAGATAGAAATTGAGAAAATATAAATAGCAATAAAGTGAAGTTGAGAAAAAATCCAATTAAGGGCATGAAGAAATAAGTGATAAATACAATAAGATAAACAAATAAAGATAAAAGATTAAGAACGGAAAATGGAATTAAATCGAGGAAAGGAGAAAGATATAGAAATGGATAAGAGAGAAAAAGGGAGCAAGAGGAAGAAAAAAGGATTAGCGAGAGAAGAGAGAAAAAGAGATAGAAGTGAATGAAGGAAGAATGATAAAGGAAGATGTACTTGGATTATAAACAGAGAGGGATAATAGAGAAAAGGAGAAGTGCATTAAGGAAAGGAAGAGAGAGAGAGAGCGCGATAGAAAACATAAATAGAAAAATAAAAATATACAGACAGGCACAAATTGACAGTCAAGTGAATTAAGGAAAGGGAGGAATGGAGAGAGAGAAAGCGATAGAAATCACAAATAGAAAAATAAAAATAAAGAAAGAACGAAAGAGCGCGAGACGAATCATAAACAAAAACAGACAAAAGAGAGGAATCACAAACAGAGAAAAGGAAAAAAAGATCTAAAAAGACGACTCAGAAGAAGAGTAAGAAACAAGGGCGAGGGGAAAGGAGAGGAGAGGAGAGGGGAAAGGAGAGAAGAAGAGAGAAGAAGGAGGGGAGAGGAGAGGAAGAGAAGAAGGGAGAGGAAAGGAGAGGAGAGAAGAAGGGAGAGGAGAGGGGAAAGGAGAGAAGAAGAGAGAAGAGGAGAGGAGAGAAGAAGAGAGAAGAGGAGAGGAGAGAAGAAGGGAGAGGAAAGGAGAGGAGAGAAGAAGGGAGAGGAGAGGGGAAAGGAGAGAAGAAGAGAGAAGAGGAGAGAGGAAGAGGAGAGGAAGGGAGAGGAGAGGAGAGAAGAAGGGGAGAGAGAGAAGAGGGAGGAGGGAGGAGAGGAGAGGGGAACAGGGGCAGCGTTGTGTGAGGAATTAAGTCTCATAATTGAAGGGCTTTGGCCGGGGGAGGTAATGGACGAGCGGCAGGACCTCGGGAAGGGAGGAGGTGGAAGGAGGAGAGGAAACGAAAGGAGGAGGTGGAAGGAGAGGAAGAAAGGAAAGGAGGAGAGGAAGTGGAGGTGGAGGTGGAAGAAGAGGAGGAAAGAAAGGAGGAGGTGGAGGTGGAAGGAGAAGAGGAAACGAAAGGAGAAGAGGAAAGGAAAGGAGGAGGTGGAAGGAGAGGAAGAAAGGAAAGGAGGAGAGGAAGTGGAGGTGGAGGTGGAAGAAGAGGAGGAAACGAAAGGAGAAGAGGAAAAGAAAGGAGGAGGTGGAAGTGGAAGGAGAAGAGGAAACGAAAGGAGGAGGTGGAAGTGGAAGGAGAGGGGAAGAGAAGAAGAATGAGGAGGAGGTGGAGGTGGAGGTGCAAGGAGAAGAAGAAAGGAAAGGTGGAGGAGTTGGCGGAAGAAGAGGAAAAGGAGGAGGTGGAAGTGGAAAGAAGAGAAGAGGAAAGGAGAGGTGGTGGAAGTGGAGGTGGAGGAGGTGGAGAAAGAAAAGGAAGAAGAAGAAGAGAGAAGATAAAGAGGAGGGAGAAAAAGAGGAAGATATATAGATAAGAACCGAAATCAAAATAAGGAAGAAACAGAAGAAGAGAAAGGAAAAGAAAAAACGTTTCTCTCTCTCTCTCTCTCTCTTCTCTCTTCTCTCTCTCTCTTCTCTCTCTCTCTCTCTCTCTCTCTCTCTCTCTCTCTCTCTCTCTCTCTCTCTCTCTCTCTCTCTCTCTCTCCCTCTCCTCTCCCTCTCCCTCTCCCTCTCCTCTCCCTCCCTCTCTCCTCTCCCTCTCCCTCCCTCCTCCCTCCCTCCCTCCCTCCCTCCCTTCCTCTCTCCTCCCTCCCTTCCTTCCTCCTTTATCACACAGCGCGCCTACGCCCACGCACATCGCTCTTCCTCACGCCCCTTACCTTCACCCTCACCCTAAATCCCTTGACCATCTCTCTCACCCTTAATTCTCGTTAATTCTCCCTTCACCGTCACCCTTCGTTCTAATTTAATTTACCTTGTCCCTTTATCTTAAACTTCATTTCACCCTCAATTGTCTCCCTTAACCCTTTGCTCCTTACCCTTATATTTATCGTCTCCCTTCTTCCTTCACCTTCACCCTTAAACCTCTTTTCTTCAAGTCCTTAAGCCTTCATCCTCGCCCTTATACTTTCTTGCTTCACCTTAATCCTCTTTCTCACCCTTATCTTCTCTTAATCCATCACCCTCACTCACCCTTCACCTATAACTATTTTTGCTTCACTCTTAATCTAACTTCTCACCTTTAAACCTCCCTTAATTCTCCTCACCCTTAAACTCTCTCTTAAATTTCCTTCTCACCCTTAAACCCTCCCTTAACCTTCCTTCTCACCCTTAAACCTCCCTTAACCTTCCCCCTAACTACACCCTGCCAAGTGAAAAAGCTAACACCACAGAATTATAAGATTTATCATATATATATATATATATATATATATATATATATATATATATATATATATATATGTATGTATGTATGTATGTATGTATAAAGTTTTTTTCTGTTATTTTATGGAGTAAAATCACGTTTATGATAAATCACACTGGATGAAATTAAGTGTATGGCGGTGTGCAAACTCCCACGTCTTCTGTGATGGATTAATTAAGGCGGATTTTACCTTGGGAATACACGGGGTTTTGGCTCTATGATTCCTCTTTTTCTCTCTCTCTCTCTCTCTCTGTTTTTTTTTTTTTTTTTTTTTTTTTTTTTTTTTTTTTTGTTATTTTATTTCTTTTTTTTCCTCTTGTCTTATTTTTCGTTCTTCGTTTTCTTATCTTTTTTCCTTTTTTTTACACACACACACACACACACACACACACACACACACACACACACACACACACACACAACACACACACACACACACACACACACACACACACACACACACACAGCTGTTCTTACATACACCTAAAAATACACACATACTGCTTATTATTCTTCTTATCGTTATTATTATTTGATAGCGAGGGATGTGGGTGGGATGGGGGAGGATGGGGAGAGGGGGGGGGAGTGAAAGTAAAAGTCATATATCACAGGAAGCTCTAGATATGTACGTATGTAAGTGTATGTACGGATGTATGTATGTTACTTTTTTTTACACACGTACGTTCTTTTTTAAGATTGTAACATGACGTGGCTTAATCATTATTTTTTCTTTTTCTTTCTTTCTTTCTTGTTTTTTTTTCTTCTTCTCCTTCTTTTTTCTAGTCTTCTTCTCCTTCTTTCTTCCTTTTTCTTCTTCTTCCTCGTCTTCTCCTTCTTCTTCTCCTCCTCCCCCTTCTTTCCTCCTCCTCCTCCTCCTTCTTCTTCTTCTCTTCATCATCATCTTCTTCCTCGTCTTCTTCCTCCTCCTCTTTCCTTTTTCTTCCTCTTCTTTATCATCATCATCCATGAAAACAAGAAGCTACCTCCATGTCAAATATTCTAAGACATTTGTCTCCCCGCTCAGGTTCCCTTCGGTGCCAGTGGAGTGCCAAGGGACGGGTGGCACTGGGGGCGAGCGGCGAATGGCACCCTGTCTTCGGAGGGAGACTTGAGGAGGAGATGAGAAACGGCAAAGGGTTAAAATGGTAAGGATTATGGACTGTTTGTCTATTGTTTTTTCGTTGTTTTGTTCTTTTCTCTTTTTTCTTTCTTTCTTTCTTTCTTCTTTATCTCTCTCTCTCTCTCTCTCTCTCTCTCTCTCTCTCCTCTCTCTCTCTCTCTCTCTCTCTCTCTCTCTCTCTCTCTCTCTCTCTCTCTCTCTCTCTCTCTCTCTCTCTCTCTCTCACTGCCACCAAGACGTCACCAAACCTGCAGGTGTTTCGGATAACTTTTTATTGTCGATGACGCAATTCTCTTGGTTGGGGGGGGGGGGGTAAGTGGGGGAGGGGGAAGGGGGAAGGAGCGGGAGAAGGGGGAGGAGGCGAGGGGATGGGTTAGGGGAAGGGGAAGGGGGAAGGGCGGAGATGAGAGGGAAGAGAGAGGAAGGTGAGAGAGAGAGAACGAGAGAGATGGAGAGATGGAGAGGAGGTAAGTAAAGGGGGATAAACTTTTTAAGGGAGGAAGATAACGGAGAGAAAGGGAGATGGGGGGGGAAGGGAAGAGGAAGAAGAAGAGGAGGAGTGGAAAAAGGGAGGGGAAAGGGGGGAAGGGGGGAGGAGGGGGAGGAGGGGGTGAGACTTGAAGTAAGATGTCTGGAATGTCGATGAGAAACCTGTAGTGATTGTAGTTAGGGGAGTGACTGATAAAAGTTTTAATGGCTGAGCTATGTTTGAAGTTTTGGAGAGTGGAGGAGAGGGAGAGGGAGAGAGAGAAGGGGAGAGGAAGGGGGGAGAGAGAGGAAGAGGAGAGAGGAGGGAGGGAGAGGGAGGGAGAAGAGCGAGAGGAAGGGGAAGGAGAGGGAGAGGGAGAGAGAGAGGAAGGGGGAGGAGAGAGGGACGGAGGGGGAGAGGAGAGAGAGAGAGGGGAGGGAGAGCGAGAGGGAAGGGGGAAGGAAGAGAGGGAGGAGAGGAAGAGGGAGAGAGGAGGAGAGCGAGAGAAAGAGGGAGAAGGGGAGAGGAGAGAGGGAGGAGAGGGAGAGGAGAGGACGAGAGAGGAAGGGAAGGGAGGAGGGACGGAGGGGGAGGGGAGAGGGAGAGAGAGAGGGGAGGGGAGAGCGAGAGGAAGGGGGAAGGAGAGAGGGACGGAGGGGAGGGAGAGAAAGAGAGGGAGGAGAGCGAGGGGAGGGAAGGAGAGAGGACGGAGGGGAGGAGGAGGAAGAGGGGAGAGGGAAGAGCGAGAGAGGGGGAAGGAGAGAGGGAGAGAGGAGGGAGAGGAGAGGGAGAGGGAAGGAGGAAGGAGAGAGGAGAGAAAGAGAAGAGAGAGAAAGGGAGGAGAGAAAGGGGAGGGGAGGAAGGGGAGGGGGAGAGGGAGGGGAGAGCGAGAGAAGGGGAAGGAGAGAGGGAGGAGGGGAGAGGAGAGAGAGAGAGGAAGGGGAAGAAGAGAGGGACGGAGGGAGAGGGAGAGAAAGAGGAAGAGGGAGAGGAAGGGGAGGGAGAGGGAGAGAGAGAGAGGGAGGGGAGAGCGAGAGGAAGGGGGAAGGAGAGAGGGACGGAGGGGAGGGGAGAGGAAGAGGAAAGGGAGAGGGAGAGAAAGGGGGAGGGAGAGAAGGGGGAGGAGAGAGGAGAGAGAGGGAGGGGAGAGCGAGAGGAAGGGGGAAGGAGAGAGGGACGGAGGGGAGGAGAGGGAGAGAGAGAGGGGACGGAGAGAGGACGGAGGGTGAGGGAGAGGAAGGGGGAAGGAGAGAGGGAGAGAAAGATAGAAGGAGAGGTAGGAGTCACACACAGAGAAAGAAGTGGATAACACACACGCACACACACACACAACACCACACACACACACACACACACACACACACACACACACACACAACACACACACACACACACACACACACACACACTCCCACACTCCCCCCACACACACACACTCCCCCCCCACACACACTCCCCCACACACACACACTCCCCCCCCACACACACACTCCCCCCACACACACACTCCCCCCCCACACACACTCCCCCCCACACACCACACTCCCCCCCCACACACACACTCCCCCCCACACACCCCCACACACACTCCCCCCCACCCACCCCCACACACACACCACTCCCCCACACACCCACTCCCACCCACCCCCACCCACACACTCCCCCCCACCACACACACCCCACTCCCACCCCCACCCCCACACACACGCTGTCTCATCCAAAAACGCCCCCAAACAGGCGGCAACATTTGAATATACATGTATTTATATATATTCATGGACATATAAATTTAGACGATGATTATGAATATGCAGCGGAAGGACGGGCGGCGGGCGGCGGCGGGCGGCTGCGGCGGCCAGGCACCACGCCCATGGGAGACAAGCCGAGGGGTTAAGGCCACTGTTTGACGAAAG